TAGGTAGGCATATTGAGGCACCTTCTGCAGGTACGCCTCAACGTAGGGGCGGAGTCTCTGCTGCAAAACGTGCGAAAGTGCCCGCCCACTGGCCTCGGTCAGCCCGATCGGGCGCAGATCGCGGGGGGATTTGATCCGGACCTTTTTCGGTATCAGGACCAACCAGGCATCCTTCCATAAGGCCGGCACGGCCTGGAGGCGGCTCGTCCACGTGGTCAGGGCCGGGGCCAGGATGTCCGCGCAACTGCGCCACATCGCAGTCGAGGCTAAATGAGGGGGGGTAGCTTTGTGCGCGACAAGGCTGGAGAGGGCCTGGTAGACTTCAGTTTCATCTACCTGAATACGAACTTCAGGCTCAGTGCAAGGCGGCGGGCGCTGAGGATCCCGCGTGTACAATTGCTTGTAGTGCTGTTGCAGCTGACGAAGCTGGACTTCGGCAGACTGAAGGAGGCCTTTCTCGTCTTTGAGTTGAATCTCTCCCCTCCGTTTCTTAGGGGCAATGTTTCTGACCCCCGCATAGAGGGCGCGGAGGTCCTTGCTGGCGGCGGCCTGTGTCAGGTCGTGAAGCCGATCTGTGAACCATTGTTTGCGGGCCTGTTTGCCTGCCCACTTGAAGTCCTTTTGTGCCTTCCGGAACTTCGAGTAGCTTCGCCATGCGGACAGGATGGCGCTCGTGCCTCGTTTGGCTTGGTTCTTCCACTGGGCGTACGCTGTCCACATGCCTCGGATGCCGATGGCCATGGCCGGCGTCTGCCAAGCGGCAAGTCTTTGAGGCTTATCTACCGGGGGAAAGATCCGTGCCGCGCACTGGCAGAGAAGTTGGTTCAACTCCTCTATGCTCTTGGCCTCGGGCAGACCCGACATAACAGCTTCACGATACTGCTGTATTTGGGGCAGGTGCGGATGCTTGCTGCATCTGATGAGCTCCCAATGATTCCATGTTCTTCGGACAGGCTTAGGGCGGTTCAGGCTTTGGAAGCGCTGCAGCGGTATGCTGCCTAGGACCGGGAGATGGTAGCTACCCTGTCTCCAGGCCGCAAGGGTGGTGCGAACAGTTCTGGCCTGCCTCGCAATTTGGTCGCACTGTACCTGGCGTATCAGGACATGGTCCAGAAGGGCCTGCCCCTGGTGGTGGTGGAAAGTGGCACCTGCACGGCGGTT